CTTTCTTTATGTTATTCGTTAGTTCGATCCATTCAACCGAAAAGGGAGCTATAGGGTCAGACCTTCTCGTTGGATGGGTGGGGAAGACCTTGGAGGCTGCTGCGTCTCGTAACTGAACCTTTCCATTTTCCCCTCTCTTCACGAAGGTCCACGCGGCTCCGAACCGACCGGACGCGGACTGTTGCGGGCTTTCCTCGCCTCCTAGGCCCTTTGCTTAAACACGTACGAGAAATCGAAGGCCGAATGGCAAATGTCATATTTCCCATCGATTTCTAACATTATTTCAGAATTTTCCTTCTTCGAACTCGTAGTTCTATGTTAAAACGACCTTCCATCTTGTTCTAATTGAGTATTTCTTGGGACTGTAAGCAAAATTAGTCGAAGCTTCGATCATACGAGAATTAGGCTTGAATAATTTATTTCAATATTGGAGAAATGGATTTTCGAGTAAAATTAGAAATTAAGGACGTTTCTGGAAAAAGGATCTATAGACCTATGGGCCCTTTTTCTATGAATCGTTTCTAGCCCTCGGACTGCGGACCATGAAGAGAGCCACGATTTTAATTTAATTTTGTGTTTCATATTAGTTTCGTTTTCTAAATTTTATATACTGTTCTTTTGAAAAGTATTCTTCAAGGATTAACTAACTACCATGGGTTTATATTTTATGGCAATAATAATATTTTGAGCCACGTAATTAACAGTTCAAACATAGCAATACATTGAAGAGACTGAAACTAAAACTTTTAATGCAATTTACTCAATTCGTAGATGTATTCTTTTTCAGAAATGTCCTCAATTATTGCTTATCGATTAGATGGTGTTTAATTTATTTAAAGAATATTTTATGGGAAAAATCCTGTTCGATTTTCGTCGAATAAAACGTAAATATTGAGATCATTATCAATATTCGTACGATAAGATGCAACTCGTATAACAAAGCTGTCTCTTATCAAAATTTATTCGTGTTTGTAATACTGCAACTCTTTGAATCGTATCGCAAAGGAACTGACAAGATAAGCAATATTTCGTAACGAAAAAAAAAGAGAGTAATAATAATGGTTGTGTAATGTGATTGGTGCAATCAAATATCTGAAAAGGAAATATCACGACGAACGCACAGAGGAATTCAAAAATACAGTTGTATCATAAATTAATTCGATGAATGCGACGACCTTGTTTACGATAACGTAGAAATTTTCAAGAGTCGTTCGGAGGAAACGATTATTTATATGCACAATATCGTTACGGGGCTCGTATCACGGCGTTACAGTATTATTATTCTGCAAGCACGTGTCAGGGTCACCTTCCGCGAATTTTGTTACACACACGTGTAGCCGAGCAACGCTCAAAATAATTTTTCCCGAAAATTACACCATCGGTAAGAAAACGTTCTTCTTCTTCTGCATTCTCGGCTCGTCCCGTTCATGCATGTGGAAACATCTCATCTCTCTTTTATTTTTATTTTATTTTTTAAACGCCGATTAAGAGATCCAAGGTTGGTTGCATCGCGGACACGTTGCTATCGATTGGCCACGACATGCGACGTAACGTTATATAATAAAAATACTATGCGTCAAACGCATACCAGCAGTTCTTTTTTCGTTTGCAGCTACGCAAGTTTCCCGTTCGATGATTATCGTCTTCTGCCCACCGAACAATTGTCCCTCTTCCAGAACGTCTCGAAATAAACCCCTATTGTCTCGTACTACTTGGTCCGCTTGCTTCTGTTAGTAGCTTGCTTTCTGTTTCTACTGCACTCGTTGCAACCGGTGCGGTGTTCGGAGAAAGCGGTTTCGTATTGCAATTATAAATATTTATATATGACGCCTTTGATTTTTTGTACGAGATCGTAATTCTTAATTTTATTCATTTAATCCTCGAACAGCGGACCCTGGAAAGAACCACAATTTTAATTTAATCTCGTATTTCATATTAGTTTCATTTTCTAAATTTTATACTGATCCTTTAAAAATCATTCTTTTAATATATGAAACTGTTTCGTTCAAAAATTGTACGTTTAATATCCTTGTGTGTATTTTGTAAATTTGGGTCCCGATTGACCCACACTTTACATTCTACGGTCTAAGGGTTAAAGTTATTAATTTTTGAATTATAATTAGTATTCCGTATAACTATCTTTTAATGTATAATTTGTATATAATATAGTAACAATAATAATGTGAAATCACAAATACGTTAACGTCAAAGAAGCACCATTATATTTGCAAATCTATGATGTGCATAAAATGTCCAATCTTGACTGTAATAATTATATTCTAATACATTCTTTAAAAAAAATGGTAAAATGCAACCGATTAGAATCCTTCAACCACCATCATGGTAAAGATAAGAAAAAAGAGCAGAACCCCTAAACGTAGTTTCGAAACCGAGCCTCGACACGAGATATCTGTCAACTGCAAGCCGCACTTATCCTATCGATATAGTCCGAATTCTCAGAGATTTAATCGATCGTCTAAGCACGAAAACACACCCTTGGCGGTCCCTTGGCCGCAGATTAGCCGGCTCCTTGATACATCCGAGGGAGAGAAAAGGGGGTCAGGATGTCCCGTAATAATCGTCGATACACACGAAATTCGGAATCCGAAAATTTCCAGGCAAGGCAGATGGCGTAGCCTTTCGCGGAAGCGATCTTTCTCGCTTTTTAAACGCCGACATCGGCGTTTTGTGTTTCTGCATGTCTCAGGGGCGTACCTACCCCGGGGGCTTCTCCTCTATCTGCTCTCCTTTTCCTCTTCGAACATCCCTTTCTCTCTTGTTTTCTTCTCGTTTAATTTCTTCCCCTCTCTGTCCCTCATCTCGATTCTCTTCACTCCTTTCTTCTTCTTCTTTTTCTTCTTCATCTCTGTTTTTGCCCTTCTTTCCAACTCTCTAAGCTTCCGTCTCCTCGGCTCACGCATTTTCTCCCCACCCTGAACACTGTTCCACGTAGAGAACTTCTTCACGGATTCTTCGCCTTTGTTTCGCCAGCGATGCTTTGTGAATTTCATAGTCAGCTGCACGAAATCGAGCCCCGCGGCCCCATTTACTTTTTCTAGGATGCCCCTATTTTTAAAATGCGATGCCCCTCGTGGAATCGTGCAACCGAGCTAGACTAACGCGACCATCTTCGAGGACATTTTCCGCAAGGACGAGGAAATTTGAGTCGACTCTGTTTCTCGGGAACTTTAACAATTACGTGGCTACTCGTTAGACGAGACGGTGTCCTACGCGTGCCTCCAGTTCACGCCCGGAAAGTTTTGTAATTGGTCGACAGAAAAATCTGCAATTAGCGCGTTGATGGTCGTTGGGAAGATGATCGTGCGCTATATAGAATGTCCTGATAGCGAATACAAAGAATTTTGTCGTTTCATTTTAATTGGCATCTTTATTTTACTTCCTTATATTATTAGTATCGTATTAACGCTTGAATGATTATCGCGATCCAGTCAATAACGTATGAAAGAAATACGAGTTCAAGGGAAGGTGAATCGATCATGACGTTTATACGTTTCTGAAAATGATTCACGATGAATTTCATGAATGTTAAATATGTTATTAAAATCTTCTTCCATTTTTCATGAATTTCAACGCGTCCACAGATTAACATTCGTAGTTAAATGATTTTCATATTATATTTTAGATATCTAACTATTTCAAGTGCCCAAGCGTAGCTGGTTATCATGAATTTTATTGTACTAGTGTAGAGGAATAGATAAATGATTTCGATGTTCATCACTCTATGATACACTAAAGATAATGTCGTGAACAAGAGTACGCATGATTCCAATACAAAGGATCGTTAATGAGTGTATGCGGCTGTAATCATTCTTCTTCTCATTAAATTTCCCGACGATTTTATAATAAATAAATTGATTATTTATTCGAGTCACGAATAAGGAATTTTTTGTCGAGTAGAGTCTCATGATACTCGGAGAGAAACGGGAGGAATTGGGAACGGTTACAGCGGATTCCCCTTAATACCAGTCCTTAGGCGCTAATGAATGGTTCCCCGTGGCCTTAGGAAAATACTAACGTTTGTAAATGCCGCCCTCGATGCGATTCGATCGTGACCGATGGGAATCGCAGCGGTTCCTCGTCGACCTTACACGTGCCAGCAGGCTGTATGCCTATAACTCTGCCATGAACTTCATTCTCGTTTAAGGGACCGATGGCGAATCTGAAACGCAAACAGCAAGATCAAATAGTTGATTACGCAACGTGCAGTTGGCTCGTTGAATTCCGCAGTTGAAACACACTTGAGCTAGAATTACAATTAACACAACATGTTTGACCTTTATTATTATAACATTTATTAAATTTGCTCCATCATACATAGATTCACTTGTTTCAATATCAGCATCAGATGATTAATATTATTTCAGTGACGAAATTTAATACACTGACTGTTTAATACACTGGTGGTTAGGAAAATAGAAAAAGACAAATCTCGAATATCATTAGCATTATATTAATAATTTAAGGTAATTGAAATGTTTAATTTGAAAATCGATAGTTATGTCTGACCACACATGTTCCTTAACCCTTTGACTGTTATAGACGCATATCATAATCAAATAAAAGTTATCAACGCATATTACTAGTTACACACTATGTGTTATCAGATTATAATGATGCGATAAAACACTAATAAAAAGATAAAAAAAATAAATTGAGGAATGAAATTAAATAAAAAAGAAAATGATAAGTGTTATTGATTTTATTCTTATTTCGTACAGACAAAACGTTTAAGCCTAGAGTACTCAGCAGTCAAGGGGTTAATACGTCCTCTGCGGTATGTACCGGTTTCGTGTCACGCTATATTTCTGCTATTACAGAATTAATACTCGCCCACGCGATATTGCGTGATCGGACCTCAAACTGTTGACGCCATTAAGTCGTATGGCGAGGAACGTGTTAATTAAAGGATTCCCTTAATCCTATTACAACTTCATTAAAACCTCAGTCACGACTAACCATTCGAATTTTCTTTGTTTCAGGCAAGAAGCTGAAGTGTCCGTTCTGCGAGAGACTGTACGGCTACGAGACGAACCTACGCGCCCATATACGGCAACGTCACCAGGGTATCAGGGTGCCGTGTCCGTTTTGTTCGCGGACCTTCACGCGGAACAACACGGTCAGACGGCACATCGCACGGGAGCACAAGACCGAGCTGAATATGAAGGCGTTCCAGCAGTCGAACCATTCGATGTCGGACTCGGTGCCGCAGTAACGACATCCCCGTCGTCGTCATCGTCGTTGTCGTCGTCGTCGTCGTCGTCGTCGTCGTCGTCGTCTAAGTCACGATCGTCGTCGTGATCATTGTTGCCGTCGTGGAGGCACCGAAAGCAGCCCGGTGGCTACTCGAGTAACCCGCGAGTGACTTCGAGTAACCCGAATGATTACAAGGAAGATGGAACGAGTTAGCTGGAAGGTAAAGGTCCATCTTTCCCTTTGGTCGTCGGTCAACGCCGTCCCCATCCCGTGTCGCATCCGAGCGACACTCTGGATTCCTCGTTTCCCTCGTGAACTACGCCTCGCTGCGTTTGACAGCGCCCAAAGCTGACTGTTCGTCGAGAAGCACGCGAGTTCCTGGCGGTAGGACCACAAAGGAAACGATACGTGCGACCCGCTGGGTCATCGAGGTCTGTTCGTAATAGTTGTCAATTAAACTGCGACCGTCACGAGTCGACCTTCCGGTACACGCCGAGGAAAACGTCTGGGGGGAAATGTGCACGGATTTCCGGGGGAGACACGTTGGTGCACTCAGTAGGATGGATCTTCAGGGTTCTCCTTGTAAAACGACGTTTTCAGTTTTGCTTTCAGTTCTCACAGCCCGTGATCTATCTGACTTTTCGAATCTATTTTTATAGATTTACAGTTCCTTTTAATTGTGCGTCGAAGCGAGACGCGTCTTGCGAAGGATGGACGTCGGATGAGACAGGAGGCGTTGACCACGATGTAGGAAAAATTGTCCCGGTGATCGGATCATGGAGTAGACGGGGAGATTGAAGAGACGGAAAGCGAAGAAGAGGAGGAAAGGAGCTCGGGAAAACGTCGACGTCCGATTGCTCGCGTAGCTATGCACAGAGGTAGGGAATTAAGCGCGTCGCGCCTCGGACACGCTCGCGGATACGCTGCAAATCACAAAACTAGTCAATGAAAGTGCAACGTCGAGTAAGAGTTATTAACTATAAACGCTTAAAGAGCGCGATTAAATAGAGAAGTAGGGAAAAGAATAAAAAAAGAAAAAGGCGTAAAACACCGGAGGATAGAGAAACGTGAAATAGCGCAAAACGCGGATTCACGAAGCTAAAGAGAGAAGAAGAGTAACGAAGAAAAAAAGACGCATATCTCAGGTGAAATCGTATACAATAAGCGAAATAGAACTTTTTGTTTCTCAGTCTTTTTTCTTCTTCTTTTTTTTGTATTTTCGTTAATTTTACTACGCGCGTTTTGGTACCACGCGAGAACGAACAGGTTCGTTCGAACGAGGTGTACCAAGAAGAGAACACGCGATATCAAGCATGAAATAGCAAACGGTGCAAGCGTTGTTGCGATAATAGGTTTAATTAACGAAAAAGTGTCTACTTACTGCCGCTACCTTTACTATATTCGATAGTTGAACGTTACCATTGGATTAAGGATTATCGAACTGCTACCGCATCGTCGCATCAAACACTGTTATATACTACTGACATACCGCAGGGAATAACTGGTACTATTATTGCTGTTGATGTCGAGAGCCTAGGGTCGAGGCACAGGTGATATATCTACATTACGTTCACGCATTAGTGCCAAAAGAAAACACGAGAAATCAAACAATTCTGGATCAGAATCGCATCTCCGTTTGTACATTGCCGAGCATCGATAGTCCTTCCTAGGGAAAATGGCGAGGTAGAGGAAGGTGGCGCCACCGTTGCTCCGAGTATCGTGGCAAATGGTGGAATCTCCTTCTCCTAAATTGCTTTCTCTCCTATTAGGAGTAGATTAATATGCTCTGCACTGTCGCTCCTAACAAGACATAAAACATATCCAGAAAGGAGATATGTACTCCATGCAGACACGTATATTTTTCCTCATCTTTGTTTTGTATAGATATACCGTTTTATAAAGGATTTATGAGATTATTACTACGATTACTGGAACAGACAGGCTGTCGAGTTACTGTATCTCATGTAGATTCTTCCTGGCGAATGCGTTCGAGATCCACGGAATAATAATGATACATTGAGAATGTATTTTTTTTCTTCGTTATAAGAGCGTCTTCTTTTTTATACGTTGAAACGCAGGTTAAAGTTCAGGGGATGGCTGTTCTTAATTGTCATTTATACACGGAACGGACACTTCCTGTCGTCGAATGCGTTTCACGCATGTGATCCATAGTTTTTCTATACGCATTCGCCTAGGGAAATCGAAACGTGACGAGATGTGTCACGCGTACAATCACTACCACTTTGTTACCTGTTTACAATGTTTAATACGGACTTTTGTCCGAAGCAATAGTCGAGATATATAGGGGATATAATAATCAATAGACCAGAATTGAACAAAGAGCATAGGAATAATTGCTAAACCGGTTGTATAGAATGTGATCAATGCAATAGTTATTATATTACATTTACCTATAGATAGATATATAGATACTCCTAGTCAGGATGGCACCACGATATTACTTGTTGCAGTATTGACACGTTTTTATTACTACAAACTTTTATCTATCTCTCTTATTTTCTTCTCTTTTACCCTTCCGCGTGTTTACGTTGATTCAACGTTTTATTTTTCTACTACCCCCCCGATTTTTGTTTTTCTTTTTTTTCTTTGTTGCGTTACAGAAGATGAAGTTTAACCAAGAGTTATCTCACAACGATACGCGTATACCGTATGGTATCAAAGACAATAGATAATAGAGAATTATTTAGTATTTATATGGTCATATGAGAGCTAGGTTATTACATGAACAGTGAAACGTTCTATTTGTTCGTTTCTGTTTTTTCTTTATCTCGTACCTTTTCGTACTCTTTTTTTTTTTTAATTACGCGTTGCATGTGTTCCTGTTCGTTCTCTCTCTCTCTCCCTCTCTCTCTCTCTTTATTTGTTTTTTATTTACTTATTTTTCATCTATTATTTTTCTATACTACTGAATCGCGAGCAATGCCCGCGAGTTCTGCCAAACATTTATATAACAGTACTACCTCATCGTTTTTATAATAACAAACAACACAGGGAACATTGAGAGACCACGATATAACATCTGTACATTCCGTACAGCCGCTACTACTTGTCTGATTAGTGTCGGAACTATTCTACTGCTGTTATACCGTTTAATATAGGGTACGGATCTCGAAGATTTTCGCTGGAAATTCTCTTTCCTATACCGTTTTATTTACTTTATTCTATCAAACGATCATATGTTTTAGTTGATCGATCACTTTTCCACACGTTATCAACTGAACAATCTACTGGTCGAATGATTCGCTGTTTCTAACCAGCGAAAAACTATCGAGATCGTGGTCACACGTGATATATAAGCTCTACATGTTATATATAATAGATCCGTTTTTTTTTTGTTTTTTTTTACAAAGCCACATTATCACATAAGTACAGTCGGATGCAAAGATGGCTATTTTTGATTAACCTCGTCGTAATAGAGATCTGGATTACTTTTATTACTAACAATAAGATCGTACTACTAATTTGAAATAACAAATTAAAATATTAATTTTAGATATTTTTAACGCACAGTCATCTAAACTGTACCGATCAGCTGATCACGCGGTACCGGTCATCTTTGCACGCGGGTGTACAACTGCCGATTAGAAACAATGAGATATACAAACGAATGAATGTGTGCTCGAGAGAGAGTGTGTATGCGTGTGTATGCTAGGCTGCGTGATTTCGATAAACGTTTATCCGGTGAGAACCAATCACGGCGATTTCATCGTTCAGCAGCGAGGTTCAGCGAGGTTCGATTCCTGGAGCGATAGCGATTTTATTGTTTTATTTATCGGAAAACCTGGTGAAAATCGCAAGAGAACAAGCGTACACGGTTCGTTGTGTGCAGGGCGAAGCGAAAGATTTCAAGACACGCGAGAAATGTCGATCGCGGGAGCGTAATGCACGAGGTGAATCAGCGAAAGGGGTTGAAATGATGCGAAGAGAAATTATTGCGTGCACACGTGCTCGTTTCGTCGACGGATTTCGGGTTTTTCAATTATCTCGAACGGGGTTGCACTGGTTGAAAAATTGTCAAGATCGAACGTAATGAAAAAAAAAAGAAACAGATCGAAATGAGCTGGCATGTTGGAAGAGCAGAAAAAAATAATTCAAAAAAGATATTTAAAAAAAAAAAGAAAGTAGAATGCTACGGAGCGTTTGTATGAGGAAAAATTGTTATCCGGACGCGAGGGTGAATACCGATCCTTTCGGGCAAATTTCGAATGAATTTTATCGAGGATGGGCTTCGAAACATTTAGACGACGTGAAAGAGAGAAAAAAAAAAATGAAAAAATTAATCATAGATTGAAGATCGAAGGCGAGGATGCTGCGGGAAAAGGGATTATTCAAAAAAGTGTTATGTGTCGTTTACGTATGTGATGATACTAGGAACATACACAGAGTCGCACACTTACACATACAAATACACTACAATACACACATATATACGCATGGGATACGCCGTACACGGTCGAGATGCACATATATGTACGCGCAGATGCATACACGCCCACGAGTGTAAATAATCTATTATCACGCATGACGATCGAATCTGTTGTCTTGTTAATTTTCTTTCTTTCTTTCTTATTTTTTTTTGTTAAATTAAGACGAACGTTATTTTTGTCCTCAGCTACTCTGCCAAGCAGAAGCTATGATCGGAACAAATGATCGAGAGTATAATGTTTAAGTCGTACGAGCAACTCTTAGCGTTAAGTTTACACTTTTCTTTAGCATATTCTTTTTTATTTGATCATCTTTTTTTTTTTTTTTTTTAAATTTTTCTTAGGTAATGTTTGGGATGATGTTTAGAGGCCAAGGTGAAGTGCTCGTTGTTCACCGTCGGGTTATTTAAGGGTCTCGCAATTTGTTTAGTTGCTTAGCATGGTTTACAATACACGTGAAGAGAAACGGAGGGATACACGCGTGTACATTGTATATATGTATATGTAGGACAAAGAGCGTAGAGAAGAAAAATGTAGGAACGGAGAATCGATGGGTATATATATTTAGGTGATCGACAGAAAATTGGAAGGAGTTTAGGCTCACCTTTCGTGATTGGGGATGAATCCTTACACATACACATCTATTGTGTAAAATTGTTTTCGATACTTCAATCAATTTGCTTGTACCTTTATTTCGTACTAGAAAATACCATTACGAATGGTATGTTTCCAACAAATCTTTATTCACCTCTCGGATTTATTATTATTATTTAATCGAAGGAACAATTTGAGAACGAATTTCAGAGTCGACTTAAAAAAGGGTGTTCTTTTTTCCTTTTTACGTTGTTCAATTTTCACGTTCGTTCGTTCGACCGTATCCCAGTGATAATACACGCACACACGGTACACACGATGAACAGATACACACATAGAAGGGGCGCGATATATGCGTACACGTCGCGTGCATATATCCACGTTACGAAGCCACGCGCGAACGTACGCATACACGTATGTACCATTATTGTATCACGGCGTAGGATAAAATGTTGCATGTTGTTTCTATAATATGTGTTTTACGGATTGAAAATCCTTTATAGATGTCGTGTGTGACACAGCTTGGCGAGGGGAGCTTTACACACCGCGGGTCCCGTCGATTGTTTCACGCGCGAGTCGCGAGCGTCATTAAAAAATTAATGATTTCAATGAAAAAGAGTTAAATTAAGGGTTGAAAGAAATTCAAACGGAAAACGGACCAAAATTGGCATAATCGTTGGCATTCGAACGACGCTCGACACTCGCCGCCGTGATTCGCAGTGTAAAAGGGCTTTCCGTGATTTAAAAAGTGAAAAAAAGAAAACGAGTAAAAAAAGAGATGGTAATCCTTCGTCACTAGTATTCGGTATCGAAGTCGCGGGCAGGGGGCGTCAGTGAAAAAATGGCAAGAAAAATAAAAAAGGAAAGGGTGAAAGGGGGTGGGTGCTCGCGAATGCGAAGGAGGTTCGATGTTATCGCTGCACCTGGATGCCGTTGTGCACTGGCAACTACTCTATACTGTTTGATCATCGTATAGTATATAAATAGTACTATACCATAGTTGATAATGATTGTATAGTACATGTATCACGCACGCATTAAGCATATTTAAGCATTGATGAAAGAAAAAGCGTAAAAAAAACATTATACACCAGATGAAACACGTACATATACACAGGCAGAGAGAGACACGCGCATATTGAGAACGTGTAACGAACCTTTCGCGGCAAGATGAATAATAATAATAATAATAATAACGATTAACAATTAATTATTGTAAACTGTAGGGCTCATTGTCGCAGGGCGGGGCTTCGACTTCGGCGGCGTGCGACCCTCGAAATTATTTCGAGCGGCCGCGACTTATAGTACAAAGTAAACTAATGTTTAAGGGGTAAAACGATAGAAACGCGACTACGGATACAAAGGAAAAGAAAAGATTCAAAAAAAAAAAAAACAAAAAGAGGGAAAGATATTGCAGATATGCGGATTTTTGTAAACTTACTATACACGCTGTAGAACGTAACACGACGACCACGACGATGACGATGACGATTTGTATATCATAGTTGAAACGGAAGACGAACGGACTGCATCGGTGGAAGGTCGAGGATTCGTTGATCACCGTTTAATTAAGTTCATCACATTGCATTTGTATCGCATTCTTCACACTAGGTGCTGTTGTATATTCCATTTGGCGTACATCAAAGGTGAAAGTCGTTCTTTTGTATTTTTACCGACGCACAATTTGCCGAACAAGTAGTTTTTGCATAAATATAGTGCTGTATACTGTGATGTTTCTCTTAATATAGAAAATAATGATGATTCTTTAGCATAAATACTCGATCACTTTCATCCTTGCAGTTTAACATTGTTCGCTGAATGGAATATATTTTCACAGTTTCCAGGAGGAAGGGGTTGTTAGATTACTTTAAGCAGCATGGAATAACATGTTCAAGTATCTCGTTACATATCAGTTTCAGGATGAATATCGAACCGACTCTTAGATTAATTTGTACGCTAGTTTTACTATTCTTGTACATAGGTGTACCCTTTCTCCGTGGAACCACAGAACTGATTATTCATTGACTGTCCATGTGATCGTATTTTATACCAAATAGCTCGCAATAGTTTATACTAGTTACAGAATTGTTGAGATCGTTTATACAGACTGTTTTTTTAGGAGACTAACAATCAATAGATAGATTACGGGATACCATTATGAATATCTTAAAACCTTGTATGCGTTGATTGTCACAGAGATCAGCTGTTCAATTTCCAAAATTTTTCATTTTATGTTTTGAGGAATTATTCGTAACTAATTTTCAAATTAAAGCTTTCAGTTTTAAAAATTTCTAATTACAAATTTCATCTTCTGAAGCCCCCCACGGTAATAATATTATTGTGTGCCGAATTACAGTTATTTCTACCGTGACAATTAACGCATTAATAAATAGAAGGAAAATAAAAAGACTGGAGAAACTCGACACTGCCAGATACGAGCACGAATCCTTCCGGGACCGATATACGGAAGCACGTCCTGTCGTTGACCGTCACAATAACGGATCACAATACTTCGTCACACTAGTACAAATGCTACCTCACACAGTAAAACATACAGGGTGCAGAAGAAGAAAAAAAATTAAAAGAAACTTATAAATCTCTGTACATAACGCACAGTTAAATCGGTATTTTACGATAGAATCGAACGTCTCAGAGGCACAATCCGTCGAATTTGAAGGGAAACTAAAAAAAAAAAAAAACAAAAACGACGACGACGATGACGATAACGATGATGTATAAAAAGAAAAAAACGCAAATGATAGTTAACAGAGGTCAGAATAAATTCGAAACGGAGATTGGTCGTTTCTGAACGATCGTCCGTGCCACGAGTCCTTTTCTCAGGAATATGAAAACCAAGTACAAACTACAAAGTATAATAGTCGATAAGATTAAATAACATAAATCAATAATCAAGCGATGCAATAGTTGAGTGTATAGTAGGGATCATTTCGGTGTATCTTTGTTACACCATTTCTCAATGTCTCCATATGTTTCTCTCTTTCTCTTCTGCTTCTCTTCAATTAACAAGGATTGACATTGTTAATGATAAATCGTTAACTTGTTTCCCAAATGATGCCGCCGCTATTATTATATGTATATGACGCACAAATATGATAATTATTTACAATCATGATCAAATCAGGCTTCCCTAGGGGAAAATGGTGATATTCCGGGTTTTTGCCTATCGCATAGGTATCCCCAGGGAGAATGACGATGTAGGAGAGGGGGTTAAATTTATATTTATTTATTATCCATATTTCTTAGTCATACACTGAATTTTGTAATATTTAATAATTCAAAATTATATTATTTTGTTTCTAAATCACTTTTAATATTAATATCGTCAAAATTAAGGTTTTGAGAATTTCTGCATCCCCTATATCGCCATTTTTTCTATGGAAGCCTAAATTAATCGCGAGTGTATTTAGATATAGTATAAGAGAATAATTTTCTCTTAATAGCTTTACTCGTCGAAACTTCTTCCCTTTAATTGTAAAGGAACAAGAAGAAAAGAAAAACATTCGACGAGTTTTAACACTTTGACATCCGCTGTTATTCTTTTTCTTACTTTTATCTGCTAATTACAATTTACAAGTTAATCATTTTACAGAATATTTTTAAATGAGACTTTTAAAAAACACTATTAATAATTTCTGATGGAATATAAAATTGTCAAAGTGTTAAAGAAAAGTAAGATCGACAGGTAGATAATGAAACAGGTGTACCGGCGGAGAGAAAGAGAGAAAGTAAGAGGTAATTAACGCGTTGTAATAATCGCTGTACGCATTCCTCTTTCAATGGACGTACTTTTTCGATTTGAACATTTCTTCGTCTCTATTCTCATTGAGCATTTCTGAACAATCTCTTCGACAACTATTCTCCTCCTCCACCTCAGACGCGTCAGACCTTTCACCTTTCAGAATTTTTCGCGAGCCAACCAGCAAGCACGATTTTTGTGGTTATTGTTCTTGTTGAAATGTGTTTGTTCTTTGTTGGCCATTTTGTTACGTGGTGTTTCGTTGCCGGACGAATGTTTCGAACTTTTTTCCCTTCTCAACTGTTATCGGGAATAATTTTTCACGGTTACCCGGCCCTTTTTGTTGTTGTTCTTTACTTGTTTTTTTCGTTTAGAAAAATGAAACACATTCATTGTTAGTTTATATATGTATATGGAATATACTTAGATTACTTTAGAAAGAAAGGGTATATACATTGTACAGTCTTTAGTTACTCGAAACTTTTCCTTTATCGTTTTAAAAGCGATTTATTTCTTTATTTCGTTAAGTCAATAGAAAACATTTGGAAATCGCAAATGGTCTCTGTTTTTGAGTTTACTTCCGTTTCCTGTGTTTCTGTTTTCACTGCGACCTACTAAATAATTTACTTTAATTTAAGATTCTCAGGGAAAATAAGTATTCGATATTTATTAAACGTCTTTTTTAAATAATTATTTACGTGCTCATTTTGGAATTAATAATTGTCCAAAGGGTTCCAGAATTAGGATAAAAATATATATATATATTTTTTTTTACATAACTCCGGAAAATTTTGCCTACCATCGCAGTGAAAGGGTTAAATGTCCCTGAAAAGCTCGGACATCCGTTCGGTTGAATTATTTTCTGATTGAAACGCCACCGATTACCCAAAACGTTTATCTTCGTTTTCCGTTCCCGCCTCGTTCTCTCCTTCCCTTTCCTCTTCAATCACAATCTCTCGATTGTTCGCTTGTAAAAAAGAGGCAATCGAATCTTCAGCCCTCGTTCTCAGCTTCGTTTACCTAGCACTTGAAGGTAACGAGCAAACGGTGAGAGCAATGACACGATTTTAATATACATACGTAACATAGGTGTATACGAAACCGCTTCTACCTCAGATACAACATACACGCATCTACACGCATTATATCGTACATATAGAATGGATCATCATGGATTAATATTAGAGATGTGCAAAAGTTTCCGTCGTCCATTTATAAATAGCTATACCAAGTACTTTGATCAAATTTTTACCACGTTTCATTTTAACATTAATCTTGGTCAATTTGTATTTAAAAAAGGGTGATACGGGAAAAACAATATTATATTTTGAATTTTTTTAAGTAGATTTCTTATTGCTTGGTTTTTCATTTATTAAGTGCCTTTTCTTTTTTTTAAGCTGAAGATTTATTTTCAAATAATCATAGTAATTCCAATTATTGAATAATCATTATCATTTTTTAATTTCTGCGCCACTTTCCAAGTCCACGGAAGCGCAGGAGAATATTTAAATTTAAAATAGCAATTAAGAAGACGTAACGCTAAAGTCTCAGAATTAATTGGCTCAAAAGAATGTGCTACAAGTATAGAAAAGTTTACAAAATTGATGGAAAATGTAAAAAGAAAATTGCCTTAGAAACGATGGAAATTTTTGTACACCGTTAACGATAACAATTTGTAGTATTTTTTTATGGATGCTTAAACGGTTCCTTCTCGGTTTTTCTTTCTCGTGTCCCGTTCAGAAGTATTATTTTTTTACGCGAACGCATCGTCCCACGGGACGCCGCGCGTTTCCATTATTTTCTACTAAGCAAAGGAAGAAATAACGTGAAAAGGACAACACCGACAACAATCTAAATAATATATACGTAAATAATAGATATTTATATACACACACACATATATATATATATATATATAAAAAGAGATATATATATATATAAAATGAGAAACTATAATTGCCGAAAGCTCCCGCGAATAAATATATCGGATATACAGTATCCACCTAACCCGTTTCCTGATCCTTCTTCAACTCATCCTCACCATCTGTAACCCAGTCATCCTTCTCAGACAGCCGGGTAATATGTAAATAAACATCCGTTTATATTTATTTATTTATGTTTCTATGCGCTGGACGCGTCTATGTTACACGCAATTGCAAATTAATCGATACTATTCCTATTGATAACGAAAGAGTACACTCATTTTTTCAATATAAATATAAATGAATATATATATATATATATATATAAATATAAATATATAAATATATAAATAGATAGAGTATATATATATGTAATATTAAGGAGTACTTGTTTAGGTCGTAAGCGAGCCCCGAATTCGTCGCCCCGCGATGTGACACCATGTCGAAGACAAGAGAAGAAAATATAAATAAATAAATAAATGAATATATATATATATATATTATATATATACACAGACACACATGAGAAAATGTGAAAATAATGGAAAGATAAAAAAAAAGAAAATAATAAGAAAGGAGAAAGCGATTCGTAAATCGCTGGATCACGCGGTGCAAGCCACGCGAATCGAGTTCTCCTCTCGATCGCGAATGAAATTCGATCGAGAGTCAATCGATGAAGCGATCGAGGATCGATCATGCGTCGAGGAGATAATCATTGGGCATTTTTGCTTTTATCAAAGCCGGGAATATTAAATTCTGTGAAAGGTGCCGTTTGTGAGGTTCTTTGCTTTTATCGTTACCTCGTCTTTCTTCGATATTAATTACCATTAACGCTAATCAAATTCAACGTAGTATGTATTTTAATTTTTACGATTGATTGGAATATTCCTGTGTAGATATAAGCATCGTTTTACGTTCCGTTTAAAACGACTTGGGACACGATTTTGGCAAAAACTATGAACACCTTTCTCGCGATCGGAATTTAATGTTTCGCGAAGAACGCGGGGTAACTCCTCTGTTCGTTCGCTTCATCGACGTCGACAATCGGCACACATTTAACATTATTCTTGTTGCACTGTTCCGAGGAGAGGATGAGAGGAGAATGCTGGCTTGCGTCGCCACGAGCAGAGCGACACGGTGGTTACCAATTTTTTTTGTTTTAAGTTGAAAGATTAAGTTTTGCGTTACGACTATTGGGTAAGAAGTTGGGAGGACGAGATTGGAGGCGGTTTAACGAGAAAGAAAGGAGGGAATGAGGGACACGGAGGTTCTAGCCGAAAGTTTGGCGAATCTCAGCTTGGAACGGAGCGTGCAAGCCATGTGTAGTTGCGTTTTTCTCCCGTCGAATAAACGACGGTTCACCGAATTTCTTTTTATTTATACGCAAAAAAAGGGAGAGACATCGTGTACTCCGTGTGCGTGAAAGTTTCAGGTTGCTTTCTGTGTAAAACGCGTTTCTAATGCGCCGAGAACATCGAAATGCGTGAAAAGAAAAGAAAGAGAGGAGGAGAGAGAGTGTATAAGCGAATGACAGAGAGAGAGAATGAAGGAGTAAGAAAAAATAAGCGAGATGATGGAATAGAAACGAAGAACAAGTCGAAACTCTGCCAACTTCGAAGTTTCTGCATAGAAATTGGGATGGAAACGCGGTGATTAAACACTTGTTAACGATGAGAGTTGGGATATAGAGTCGTGGAATACGAGAGAAATGAAATGGCAAAAGAAACGCGAAATTAGGATATTTTCTTTTTCTTTTTCACCGAGCGTGAACAGCAGGGTGGCAGGGATTCGTGCTACACCGAGTTTGAGTGTAACTCACCCTCTTTTTTTTGTTTGTATAAAAATTAATCGAAATTTAATTAGACTATTAATAACTGTTCGATTACTGTAAAACAAGAAAACTTTACCATTAATTATAAATTACAAAAAATCTAGCCAGCTGTTATGTCTTCACCCTACCCTTTCATTTTCCTTCTTCAAAATATTGGTTTTTTAAAATAAATAATTAGGTTGATCAAATGAATGTGATGCACTT